CATCTCGGGTTATGACACTGGTACTGTCATGTCGAGAGTGTTGTTCCAAAAGGGAATATACTCTTGGACTGAGGCCAGTTCTTTACGCTCACTGTGTAAACACGACAGGTAGATCAGTCCACAACGCTTCGCACATTCTACAGTCTCGCGAAGTTTGATTGTGGGCGTCAGGACTTCAGCGAAGATGTTGGTGATGCTGGTGAAAGGATGGCGTATGAACGCCCGAGGTTCTCACTCAATTCGGCGCTAGCGCGGATTCTGGCCATTTGCTTCTGGAGCCTCCATCGACTGGAGCTCACAGCGATAGCTACAAGTACAGAACAAATCTACACGTACACTCTCCTGGACTACGAACGCAAGCTTGTACGCTTCAATTCAGTCTCCGGGAAATTCCGCTGTCATTGCGCCCAGCAGATCGGCACCACAATGCGCTCAAGTAGAGCCCTTTGGGCGCAACGCCAGCCATTGATCAAGTTCCTGGGCAAGCGACATACACCAAAGGCTGAGGGTAAGCACGGTGAGCGCATACCAATGTGCAGAACTGACCCGGCACCACAGAGATCGACCACGCACCCCACGCCCACCCAGCCTCCCCCTCCCACGAGCTCCCCGAGTCCTTCGCTTCCTACCGCGGCCGCGCAACGCAACACGGTCCCCTCGGCGGTCAACAACAACAACAGCAGCAAAGTACACCATCACAGTCTACGTCATCTTCGCGGCAAGGCGCGCCTTCCGGCTCGGCAGCGGCGCAAACGTCCAAGCCGTACGGTGCGATCGGCGGGCACTCTGGGAAACAGCTGGGGTCGGTGCAGCCGAAGCAGGGCGAGTTCTGGGATAGGAATGAGCTGCCGAGGCGGTTTCACAGGACGAGGTGGACTGAGGCGGAGATGGAGGCTTTGGAGAGTGGTGGGGCTAGCATAGTCACATGAGGAGATGCAGGTCTTCGAGAAGGGGACGCGGTCCTGCTACGAGGGAGTAGATGGGAAGACTCGGCTGAAGGTGTAAATATATCGGATGAGAACCCACAAAGACCATCACCATAGGCGTCCGTGCCAAGGGTTGCCGATGCTTCTGCCCTCGTTTGGCAGGAGCTGATTGCATTCCTACGAAACTCAGCCGCTCTTTTGGATAGCATGAGCTGATTTTAGTGACCGAGCGACGTTGAACGGATACGCAAGCCACTGGCACGGCTCGGCATAGTAGCCGAAATGTACACATTTGCCTTACCAAGCACAAACGCAGCATTCATACGCGACTCGCAATTCCCGGAACGTACCATGCGTGGCTCAATCTGGAACCTGGACATACCTTACCGCGGTAAGGTATGGTGTCTTAGATGCTGGATCGATCTTGCCTGGCGCTTGTCCGGGCTGCGCAGCGAACGTTATGCAAGACACTGTCTTGTCTCGTTCGCTGTACGCCCACTACTGGCGAAGACGAAGCATCATTGGAACAGCAGACCAAGCCGGTATCGAAACATCTCGTCACCTCCAGCGAAAATCGTTGGGTATTCGTTCGGCGGCCGGCACAC